AGTCGTGACAGTAATAATGTGGAACTGAATGAAGCGTAGAAGTTTTTATAGAAAACATGCTCAAACAAGAACTAAAATTATAGGAACGGAAAACAAAGCAAAGCAAATTAAAAGTAAATGCAGGAATGTAAATAATGCAAGAAAATAAACGTATGACTCCTAGTAATGACAAGCTACAACTGTATATCTTCTTGTAGCTAGTGTCTGGCATGGTGCATGTTTTCAGCGTGTGGAGAATTTTAGGTACGATGTCTGGGTGCAAAAAGTCATCCTTTGTAAAATGAAGTTTTGGAGAATTTATAGGCAAGAAGACTACCACCATTCTCCCTCTTTTGCAGGCATTTTTTAGTAACTTCCTTCAACTGCTGTCCATTATCCGTGACTAACTTTGATTGTGCTGTCGATTGTGATTTTTTTTGTAACTGCTATTGCCCACGATCCTGCTTCGTGTTGTGAAACTGACGTCTAGCAGTAACTGTTGGTAACTGCTTATTAGCTTTGTAATAGCTCTTGAGTCCTTTCATGTCTCTTATGAACTTAGAATCTTTTCTTTTGTTTCCTATTTTTCGACTAGTTTTTGAGAGAAATCTTAGAAGCTCATTTAGCGTTATGGACTTAGAATAATTTCTCCTTTGATTTCTATTTTTTGACTAATTCTGGAGAATCTGAGAGCCCTTTTTGGTCTTGTGGACTTAGAATATTTTCTCACCACTTTCTGTTTTTTGAGGCAATTTTGGAGGGAATCTGGGGCTCAACCTATTTTGTGGTTTAGACTATTTCCTGTCAGTCCTATTTTTCGAGCAACTTTTAGTGTCAGAGACTTGAAAACTCTTTAAAAACTCATAAAAAAACCTTCAGTCTTGTGGACTTATAATATTTTTTGTCAGTCCTATTTTTTGAGTAGTTTTTTGGTGCAAGGGACTTGAAAACTCCTCAAAAACTCCTTGAAAAGCCTCCAGTTTTATGGACTTAAAATAATTTCTTGCCAGTCCTGTTTTTCGAGCAATTTTTGGTGTAAGGGACTTGGAAACTCCTCGAAAAGCTTCCAGTTTTATGAACTTAGCATATTTTCCTGTCACTTCTATCTTTTGAGCAACAATGGACTGTCTTATGTTCTTTCAAAAACTACTCGAAATATGATTTCTTTCTTGATGAGGAATGAGATTCTTTTTGTGACTCTTCACAATTTTTCAGCATGCACAGACTCTTCTCTAAACTCTCAAAACTCCTCAAAAAGTAAATTTTTCAACATAATTTTATAACTTAAAATTTTTTTTTTCTTATCCTAAAGAACTATTAATGTAAATTTATAATATTTATATTAATAATTTAATTTCTATTGAGGGAAAGTCTTACCAACGGAGGCAAATACAGTACCTCCATCATTATAACCTTTCTACATGGAATATTAACATTTTTTATATACATTATAGAGTTTTTACTAAAAATAAATAAAAATTTTCATAAAACATTACATAAAAATAAAATAGTACCATCCTTAAGTACAGTGATATAACGTATATTAAAAAAAGACAGAGGTATAATAAATTTTTTTTATTATCTATAATGAAAATATATTTTATTTAATGAAAATATATTAAAGATGCAATACTTTAAATTTTGAGGAAAAAATATGAATAAATTATTTGCATTTAAACATATCATCTTTATGTTTATTGTTGTTTTTTCAACGCAAAAGATTATAAATCATTTTGAAGTTTAAAAAGTCAGACTAATTTTTATTTATGATCCCGCATCATAAGTTTAAATACAAGATTTGGTGTTATATATCAATGTTATATATATAAATGCAACATAATATTTTATTATTGGATTGACTTTTGGAGGTAAAATTTGTTTATTAATTTGATATAACATATTAAAATTTAAAATGAAATTAAATGTACAATTAACTAAAATTTAAGTGATAACGTTGGGAAATAATAAAAGTATAACAAAATTGTGACATATTGTATATATAAAGGAGTCATATGACTTATTGAAAATGAATAATTTGAATTTTTTATATTGAAAATTAAGTATTTAAATTTAATAATATAAAAAGTGATTTCTAACATGGTTGTGGCTTTGGAAGCAAATTTAAGTTGAATCATTGTGAAAGAGGGGAGGAGTATGTCCAAGTTTTGGAGAATGTGAACATAAATATGGAAACATAAGCATATAAAAATCCCAATTATGCATGTCCAACGCATTCAAAGCAGCTAGTCAAAACATAAATCTTGCAATAAAATATTTTTATTTGCTTGAAATTTTCACCTTCGCATGCACTTCTAGAACATCACCGAATAACATCTTTTTTTTTTCCGTATATGGCGTCGTAATGTGATACCCGAAAGCTTATATACACAGCACTATGTTTCCGGCAAAAACAAAACGAGTTTAAGTTCGAATAGAATGATAGGAATAACTGGTACTCACATTCATCGTTAAAGCGTACGTATCATGCAATAATTCCTTTTAATGGTTAATTGCGTTAAATTTTTATCATCTGTTAATATTTTTTTTTTATAAACAAGACATATATTATTAAAAAAAGTTAAAAACATATATTATTAAAGAAAATTAAATAAGAACTCAAAATCTACGAGAAAAAATTAATATTTATTAAAAAATAAAAAATAAAAAAATACTTATCACACGTTGATTTTATGATTAATTATTGAGTTTTAAATTATGACTTATTTACAATCTTCACCAATTATTGAATAGTTATGTTTTTTTTAATATTTTAACATATACTGTGAAACTTTGAAATATGATAATTCAAAAATACTTTATAATTTTTTTTATGATTCCGTAGGGCAAATATTAACTGTTTATGTTTATTTATTTAAATTAATTAATCTTATTTTCTTATAATTTTGGATGTTTTAAAATATTTTTAAACCTTCTCAAAAAAAAAAAAAACACACTGAATACATAATAATAATAATCTTAATGAAAGTTAAGTTAATTTAATATTTTTCTTAAGAAGGTCTCCAAATTACCTCTTTTTTGTTAAGCCATTTATAGGAAATTATTTAAAAGATAAAGTACTATGTTTTTAGTCATTATAAACATAATTTAAATGACTTTAATATTTGAAACTTTTTTGTGTTAATTTTAATATTTATAAACTTTAGTTTTTTTTATATTATATGATCGTTTAATAATAATATGCATGTATCTAGCCGAGTCATATTACATATTATCTTATAATGATTATTGAAATAACATGTTTAATAGAATATCATGTCATTGTTAAGCGACGATGAAAAATATCTTATAATTTTTTAAAATTTTACAAAATTAAATTAAAAGTATATTTTTAAATAAATTAAAATCAAATAAATATATTTATATTCAATAAAAATATTTATATTTACATAAAAATTATATAAAATACCTAAACATGTCAAAGACACATCAAAGAAAATCTGAAAGTTAATCCTCTTCCCACCCTTAAAAAATTGTTTTAATTAAGAAGAATTATCTACAGCGAAATATATCATTAACTAAGTATAAAATATTATAATATTTTATTATCATTGTATTTAAATTTCACGCATCAAATCTCTTATAGAAGTTGTACCGTTGGAGAGATCCAATTCCTACTCAATATATACCATTTCAACGATACTTCTCATCGATATTAACAAAGTTAACAAAATGTCAATTTAATATCTAAAGCATTAAACTTATTCTATTGTCTTCAGGCATAAATGATTTATTTGTTTACTTTTATTAGAAAAAAATAAATATACTCCTTCCTTCTAGTCCTTCTTATAAGAAACAAAATAGAATACTTTTTTTTTATCTTTATTATAAAAAATAAATAATAGATTTAAGATATATTAATTGTTAAATTTTTTTATACTCTTTTTTATTAATATTATTAAATATACAAATTATTAATTATATTATTTAATATTATAGAAATTTTTGAAATAAAATTTATATTTATGAAAAATATAATATATTTAATTATTTTTTATCTGATAATTTAATATTTTGTTTCTTTTAAAAAGTACTGGGGAATATTTATTTTATGTTGACCCGAACCTTACACTAGTTGACCAGTTAAATTGCCCGTAGATATGAAAGTTCAAAAGAATTGATCTTGCCAAGAAATCTAATGCCACAGTTTTTTTCACATCTGAGAAACGAAATCTTTTTTTTTTAAATAAAGAAATGCTCATTTGCATATTTCTGTCTTTCCCGTGCAAGTAAATGTTTCTTTATAAAAAATAAATATGTTGGAAATCCCCCAAACTTTGCCAAAGCATATGCAAAATGTGTTCATCGTATTTCTTGTTTCTTTAACGGTAGTTGTACGGTAATGATATTTATTTTGCTAACTTTTTAAGTTCGTTTTTTGATCATTTTAAAAGTACCTCCTTCATTGGCACCTTTTTATTCTACACTATTATTATTATTATTTATCTGTCATTAGAAAATAATGAATTTCATCAATTATATTAATTTTTTTATAATTTGTTAATACGTCATTCATCTCATTTATTGTTTTGACATTTCAGACACTATTATTTCACTTTTCCTTTTTTTTTTCTTTCTATAAGCATGCTATTAGAAAAATAATAATTGATATTAATATTTTTAAATGACAGAAAAATATAATTTTTAAAAAATAACAGATAAAAAATAGCTGCTTTATATATATATATAACGTGTGTCCTAAAAGTTCCACCTAAACAGGTAAAGCAAACGTTGGTGCTTTATTTTTCCTATCATAAAGAAAAAAGTATAAGAATTTTTTGAAGCAGCTGAGATTTGAGCCGTACGGATCCCGTTGTTGTTACTCTCTCATTTAACGTTTTAGTTCACAGGCCAGCTCTCTATGTGCTGGGTTTGTTGTGTTGCGATTAATCTTTTAATTTAATAATAAAATTATATATTGAACTAAAAATAAAGGAACAAAATGGGTCGATGGATTCAACTTGTTAAATTCATAGTTATCATAGTTTAAATGTTTATTTGATAGATGAATTAAACATTAGCTGTGACTGTGCACGTCTTTCTCTCTTTGTCTATTTGTCACGTTCCGTCATGAGTTGGGTGGCTCTGTCTGTATCCTCTCTAAATTGTGGCGCACACACACAGTTTTGCCTTCACCATTCTCTTTAACTCTCTCTCTCTCTCTCTCTCTCTCTCCATTATATTCTCTTTCTCGTGAATTATTTGGTCATTTTTCTATTTTTATAATAAAAAAAATCTCTTCGAAAGGTTGCGGAAAAAAAAATTATTATGTGAAAAATAAATATGATTCCTCTCTCTTCCTCCCTTTTGGGTTCTGTTGGCGTGTCATAACAGAAGAGGAAGGGCATAAGGAGAAATCTAATCATCGTATCATAAGAAAAAGAAAAGAAAAAAGAGGGCATCAAGTGCAGCGAATTCAGAGGATGAATGGGGTCACACACCTTGAAACAGATGACACTGAGTTTGTTGAAGTTGATCCCACTGGCAGATACGGCAGAGTACACCCTCTTTCTCTTCATCTCTCGTTCTTCCTCTCATGTCTCTGTTTCATGATGTTTTTTCCTTGATTCTTGCAGTACAATGAAATCCTTGGTAAAGGAGCTTCAAAGACAGTGTATGATTACAAACTCTTCTTATTTCATTTATGACACCCGTTTCTCATTCTTCTTAAATCCCAACTCTTTTTGGTTCTCCCACTTAATTATGTTTCTGACCCAGTACTGATTTCCTTAGAATTTGAGCTTCTCTATGCTTTTCCTTGAGTTTGTAGAAAATGGCATCTGATAAAAAAGTTTAATTTATTTTGGCGGTTTGGGTTCTCAATTGATGCAGATATAGAGCATTCGATGAGTATCAAGGGATTGAAGTTGCTTGGAACCAGGTCAAGCTGTATGATTTTCTGCAAAGCCCTGAAGATCTCGAGAGGCTTTACTGTGAAATTCATCTCCTGAAAACTTTGAAGCACAGAAACATTATGAAATTTTACACCTCCTGGGTCGATACTGCAAATAGGAATATCAACTTTGTGACTGAAATGTTCACCTCCGGTACACTTAGACAGTAAGTTCTTTGGTTGCAAGTACTTTCTCCCTACTGCATTGTTTTTTTCATCATTCTCTTTTGGTTTTATTATTTCTTCTTCTTTCAGATTTTCACTTGTTTTAATTGTCAAATAGGTATAGGCTGAAGCACAAGAGAGTTAACATCAGAGCAGTGAAGCATTGGTGTAGACAGATCTTGAGTGGGCTTCTCTATCTTCATAGTCATGACCCGCCTGTGATCCATAGAGATCTAAAATGTGATAATATTTTTGTCAATGGAAACCAGGGGGAAGTAAAGATTGGGGATCTTGGATTGGCTGCAATTCTCCGTAAATCCCAGGCTGCTCATTGTGTAGGTATGTTTATTTAATTTCAGTAAATTTCATACCAGAAGGTACCATGACAAGATGTGCCCAGCTCAAAAACCAATTATAATTAGTTCACTTAGTTGATGCCTTTTGAAAATGATTTGGCCATACCAAGGATTAGTGATTCTACTTGAAGCTTCATCTGGTTCTGTCGTTACAGGAACGCCTGAGTTCATGGCTCCAGAAGTATATGAAGAGGCATATAATGAATTAGTTGACATATATTCCTTTGGGATGTGCATATTAGAGATGGTCACGTTTGAATATCCTTATAGTGAATGTACTCATCCAGCTCAAATCTACAAGAAAGTTGTTTCCGTAAGTTTTCTCACTTTTTCTGTGTCTTATTGATAAGGATTTTTTTTTCTGTGGTGGGGAGATTTTATAGGCATTTTCTATCTCCAGGGGAAAAAGCCAGATGCTTTGTATAAAGTAAAGGATCCAGAAGTGCGACAATTTGTTGAGAAGTGCTTGGCTACAGTATCTCTTAGGCTTTCTGCAAGGGAGCTTCTAGATGACCCATTTCTTCGAATTGATGATTATGAATATGATTTTAGACCTGTGGACAATGGGGAATTGGATGACTTTGGTCCACTCATCAGACAGCCATTCTTTGATCTTCATCGGAGCTATAGTAATTTCAGTAATGAATACTCAAATGGCTTTGGGTATGAAGGAGACTGGTGTCCTCATCCGGCCGAGATTGAACCTAGTGGAATTGAACTTTTTGAGTACCATGATGATGAACCCTCTGAAGATGTTGACATAAGCATCAAGGGCAAGAGGAAAGATGATGGTGGCATCTTTTTGAGACTAAGAATTGCAGATAAAGAAGGTTGGGATGCTACTTTTTATTGTGTCTCTTTAAACCTCTGATTTGTATATTTCATTATGGAATTTATGCTTATCAGTTGGCTTGATTGTATGTCACAGGTCGTATCCGAAATATTTATTTCCCATTTGACATAGAGATGGACACGGCAATAAGTGTGGCAACTGAAATGGTTGCAGAACTCGACATTACTGATCAGGATGTTACCAGAATAGCAGATATGATAGATGGAGAAATTGCTTCCTTGGTACCTGAATGGAGACAAGGACCAGGAATCGATGAGACTCCCCGTTTTGCAAATCAAGGTTTCTGTCACAATTGTGTGTCTAATCATACTTCCAGCGGATCTCTTCTGGATTTTCTATCACATAATCCAGGTAACAAGAACATGCAACTTCTCGAGTGTTGTAAGCATGGATGTGCTTCAATGCATGGGCGGTTTGGGGAGATTACTTTCCAATCTGATGAATATGACAATCATGTTAGAGGGGATCTAAACATATCAAGCCAATCAGACTGCCGGGAGTATCAGGCAATATGGAATCAGCATGAAAGTCGTGAACTGAGTCCTGTAGAGTCCGATCAAAGCCATTCTGATGAACAATATGAACAATTGGATAAATCAATATCTGCTGAAGATCAAGGACAGAATGTTTGGGAAAACAAGTTTGCTCCCAATGCAGCAAATTCCCTTCGAAATTTATCAGGAACGCATGATTTCTCCACTATTCGGTCATTATATTGTGACCTTGAGGATGACTATGAGAAAGAGATCCAAAAGGAACTTAGATGGCTCAGAGCCAAGTACCAAATGGAGTTAAGGGAACTTAAGGATCAACAGTTTGGGCTTAGGGCTAAATCTTCACATTGTAACACAGAGCACAAAACAGAAAATGGCATTTTGTCACCTTCACTGACAGAAACATTAAAAGGAGGCAACAATGGGATTCAGTTGAAACCCATCACTAATAACTGGAACTGTGATTCCAATAGTCATCCTCATGTCCATAAAAGCAGCCCCAATTCTGACACCCAAAGGGCCCAAAATTGCGAGGCGATGGAATCCCCTGTAGAAGGTATGGTTACTGCAAAGAGTTTTTACACAGGCTCCTTGCTTCCACACTCTCTGCACAGGACAGTTTCCCTCCCAGTTGATGCTGTTGATATATAATTTTGTGAGGCACTCATTGGATTCTTTTGTAGATTAAATACATATATATATAAATCCCCATATAGAGGTTATCTGATTTCTACATCCCTTCCACCTTTTTTTTAGGAATTTCAATTCACCTCATGGAAACCAGTAGCTAATAGCCATAATCCTCCTCCCCCTGGGCCCAAAAAAGGCATCAATATACATTTGAGTGTCATTTATTTAGGAAAAGAAAATCAGATTTTGATTACGAATGTTAGTGATCGTGAATTGGATAATTGAGGCATGTAAGATATCAAAGTTCAAAGATGGGTAGAGTCTATGTAAATTTGTCAAGTATCTTCTATCTCCTACGTTATGAAACAAGTATTGAATAAGACCTTAGCGTGTTAAGTTGCTTGCTTTATTTTTTTCCCTCTCTGAATAGATATGCAATAATTGAGTGTAGCAACTTGGTCAAATCTACCCTTAAACCATAGATGAGCGGGTCCCGAGTGAAGCGCGTGCTTATTCATCCATTTAGCTTATGTGATTGTACCAAAACCAAGAACATAGTTAAAATTGAAATGCCTTGTTGCTAATCCCGTTTAGCTATTTATGGACAAAGCAACTGAATAGGTTGTAACATGGATGCACTGGTTGCATCATGATTATGGATGTTATCGTGTTAAAGTTAGTGCTAGAGGAAAGAAACTCAATTAATTATATTTATATGCATGAGCATGATGATTGATAAGGGATGGGGCTGAATATACGTTGACAAGGGAATCAATTATTAATTTTTGGTCTATAAATTATTTGGCATGACAGTTCTGACTGGGCGTTGCTGAATGGGATGTTTTCTGAACTTTTTGCTCCGCTTCACGGAGGCCCTTTGCTTTTTGCTCAATCATGGATGATGAGGTTGTTTTCTAAAGGCAATCAATTAATTGGATAGAAAAGGATATTAGCAAGAATAAGAGAAAGAAAGGCCCACCAAAAGAATCAAATTCCATGTTTCTGCTAACCAAGTTACTTGCTTGATGATATTATTAATTTAATAATAATTAAGGTTCGTCTGATCGGTCCACCTACTGACCTCATTCTAGCTGACTTTCTTTGGTGGAAATTGTACGATTTTTATTTTTTTCTTTTTGTTTCCTCAAGTGTCTGTGTCTCGTTTTCCTTGTTCATGAAAAGTCATATGCGCTATTTATTAATCTGACTTCTAAGAATCACGAACTGACAAAGCATTCACTTGTATAATAAATATAACTTATGGTTATTTTTCGCTGATGATCTGGTGTGGCGGCTCGGAAAGATAAACTCAATGTGAACTGTTACAATACTCATAGACTTCAACTTAAAGCAACATGAAAAATGCATTTTGACATTTAAGTGGATGACCAATTTTCTGAGTTTCTTGTATTTAATAATTTAAGCAATAACTTAATTTTTTTAATTTGTTTTTAAGTATTAACTTTACTTGAGAATAAGAAAAAAATTAAGTTTGAGTATGATAAAGTTACAATTAAGTTATTATTTCATTTATATTTAGTAATTTTTGGAGGTTATTTAATGCTAATTTATACAATTTATTAGTTAAATTTGTAAAATAATCAATAATTATGAATTTTATTTAAGTTATTGATATTTAAGATTGTTAATCAAATTAAATTAATAATTGAATTAATTTATAATATTTTATTATTTATAGGATAAATAGAATGAAAATAATGTTAAAAAAATTAATAGTACAAAAGTCTAGGAACTAAAACTTTGAAGTTGGACATTTCAATGTTTAACAATAAGAAAACAAAAGTTAAGAAAACAACTAAGCGTTCTAACGTATAGAATTTGGAGTTTTAATGTTGGATATTTGATTTTGATGGTTTTCAACTTTTAGTTGAAAATTACTTTACACTTAATATTTGAGTAAATATTATTTTATAAAAATTGTAAATTATTTTAAATGAGCTATTTACTCAAAGTTTGTTGAAAATCAAAGAACAATTAAATGGAATACTTCATTGAAATGCCCAACATGAGCTTGTATGTCTGATGTACTTGAACAAGTTATCTTGTGCATTGTTCTCTTTGAAAATATATGGTTTGACTCATTTGTTGATTGTTTAAAGCACTAAGAATATGCATGTAGGCATATGCAGGTTGAGGGAGCACCATTTGTGAATTTGAGCCCTTTAAAGGTAGGAAATATGCGATGATACGCTAAGAGAAAATTGGTATGTTAGTATATGCACTCTAAAGAGTTTGACCATGGTTTCAACTTAGACCCTGAGTTCAATAATTAAATCTAATGACTAAAAGTAAAACTTTGTGAAAACTTTGTTTTCTTTATTTTGAAAATAAATGAGTAGTGTAACTTTAGTTGGATAATTATTAGAACTCAAGAAAAGAGATAAAACTAGTGAGCTTAGAATATTTAGAGAAAGTTCATTAAGGCACGGGTACAAATATTTGTCAATTCTCTCTATATATGGTTCAAAATAGTTGATAAAATGATATGAAATCTTAAATTTGGCCAGTGCCTGTGTGCGTGATTAAGAGAGTGAAACTCCAAAAGTGTGCATGACTATTGAGAAGACAAATGTGTGCAAAATCTTACTTTCCTATGAAGGAAATCACGAGGTTATTTTATAATTGTTGTTGGTGAAACATAAAGAGGATCTCAATGTCTAGGTAATTTAATGGAGTTGGGTGACTTACCAATAACCCTATGAGTGTCTTAGGCCATGGAACTCTGGTTGAGAGTCTCCATACGATGCTCCTTTTTTTCTGACTCTCTCTTGAGGCTTATCATGTTAGTCGAGCTAGATCGGCTGATGGAGGTTCAAGTCCTCACCATACATGCGAAATGTATGCTGGCTAGTGAAATTTCCAACAACTTTCGAACAATAGGATTGTTATAGATCCAGAGTCGCATAAGCATAAAAATGAGATTTTTGCCAAACCAAGAGTTATCATTTGCATGGATTATGCATCATGTAATTAAACTTGCATTTTATTATATTGTAAAAGTTACTGTTGTTTTCATGTGACATATGCTCGTATTTACTTTATTTTGTTTCTTTTCTAAATAATTATTTACTTGAAAATATATCTCACTCCTTTTTTCCTTTTTGCTATATATTATGGTGTTGAATATTTCCTTTTAATTGTTATAGACTTTGAGGATGACTTTTTCCCGTCTTTTTCTCCATGTTGAGCTGAAATTTGAGAAGGATCCCATTAGCACTAATGAGATGGAGGAGGACCCTCCTAAGAAATCCTAACTGTTGTTTAGTTGTTTCTTTCATTGTCTATTGCTAAAGGACTCCACTTGTTGTATGGTGGAGGATTAGATGCTTTATGTTTTATTTTGGTAACTTAAGTATAATGTACTTTGTTTTGCCACTTTGATGGTTATGGATTGCTTCTTTAAGATCTTAGGATAATTCGTGATTACTTTTAACAATTATGAGATTTATTTATATGACCAAGTTTGTGTTATCAGTTATTTTTTAATTTTAATTTGGATAGAATTAAACAGATAGGAAATTAGTTCTTCAATGCATGCAACAAAAAAATGTAAACTCTTTAGGTTCGTGGCTAAAGAGTTTTAATTGAAGTGATAATCACATGTTGCATTTCTTATTATTAGTAATTGGTTTATTAGCATGTAAAAAAGATTGGAGTCCACTTGTATAGTTACGCCAATACATGGTATGACTATATTATTCAAATAGTACTTACTAATATCATGATTTTTTAAAGGTTTCAACTATAAGTAAATGATGAAAATAGAATCTTATGAGTAATTATTAGTAATAAGGGTATGACATATTTTTATAAATTGTTATAGTTATATATATATATATATATATATATATATATATATATGTGTGTGTGTGTGTCATTTGGTCTAAGGTTCTTAATATCAATTGTTATATATTACACGTCAAGTTATCCGAAGTAAATAGATAAAAAATAATAGAGTTATCGATTTTATTACAATTTGCATCCAACTTTTACCTAATGTCATACCTACCACAAAAAATATGTGTCAAACAAAACAATAAGTAATTATTTGTTAAAATTAAACTTATTAAATTAAAGAATAAATTGTGACATCCTGCATTTTGATTTAAATAAAATGAGGTTTGTTAAAGTATAATTGATAGATTTGGATAGAATTTATATTTAAAAAAAAATAAAAATGAACAGTAAAACCGCCTATGAACAGTGTCGATGAACAATAAAACTGCCTATGAACAGTAAACCGTGTATGTACAGTGACGATGATGTTATCAGTGACATCATCATGACGTCATGGCTGACGTCACATCCACGTATAGTACGCGTATAATCCGTGTACAGTACGTGTGGACAGTATTTCCGGCGTGAACATTGACTGCAAACAGTGTTTCCGGCGTGAACAGTAAGGCAATGAACAGTGTTTCCGCGATGAATAGTAAATTCCGGCGGTGAACAGTAACTTTCAAAAATTTTCTATAAAAAGAAGGTTTCAGATGAAATTTTTATTTCTTCACTCCTATCCAAGGTTCTCAAAGGTTCTAAGGCTATATCTCACCATTTTCTCCCATACTAAACCTCTTAAACTTAGATTTTTCTTCAGATCTGTGATTCTACGTCTGTTCTAAAGGATTTCAAGTAAGTTTCTCTAAGTTTAAAGTTAGATTTACCATTCGTTTCTCTTCTTCTTCTTCTTCTTCTTCTTCTTATAGATGTTCATGATGTTCTTAGGAAAAACTCTGTTCTAGAGTTCAAATCTTCGGTTAAATCTTTGTAAAAGCTCTGTTTTGAGGTAAGAGGGGCTCTACTTTATCATTTTGTTATGTTTATTACTTGTATTCTCATAGATTTTGTCATGTATGTGATTATATGTGGAATACTCCTTCTTTTATGAGAAATAATCGGTGAAAAGTGAGAATAATTGGCTGTTTATAATGAATACATGATGAAAATGTGATATTATGTTCAAATAGGACATGATAAGGTATATTGAGGATGATTGATATGATTTTATAATTTTGTGATATGAAATATACAAAGAGATGGATGTTTCATGTTTGGATATATTGTGTTTCATGTAAAAATGATGTGAATTGTGAATATGCCATGATTTGGTGAAAAGTATGTGGAAATATAATGAAAAATATGTGTGAACATGAGAAATGACATATGTGAACATGTGAATATACTTGAAAAAGTATGAGATGGAAAAAAGAATATGATGTAAATACTTATAGAGATACACTAAGGAGTGGAAGATGGAGACGATATGGTATATCGTGGAGAAATGCAGGGTGATGAGTGACATTCGGGATTGTGTACAAAATATTGTGTTCGAATGCATCACATGGCCACACACTCATTTCTCGACTTGACTCATGACCATTACCTTTACTAAGGGGCCGTCTACTGCATACATTGTATCCGTATTGCATTGGGCCATCCAGTGACTATTTACATGGATGTGTAAGACTTCGGGATAGAGGCATCGGATAACTGTGGCCACATGATGCGGTAAGCGCAAATAAAAGTAAAAGAAATTGTGAATCTGTGAAATATAATATGTGTTGAGATGAGAACATACTTTATATGACACTATGATATGTAATGCCATGATATTTTCTCTAACTGTGATAAGATGTATTTTGTGATGAATGTGTGTAATGTATGAGTGGTAGGGTAGAGACTCACCCTTACACAACATTTTTCAAGAAACCAAGACGAATAGTACCAGGCTCACAATGCATGGATGGATGAGAACTGCTATAGGATTTAGTTATTTTGAGTTATGTAATGGATAATTTCAGTTCTATAGCATTCTTTTGAAACAGTTGTAAAACTACTATTTCTTTTTGTTGCTGATGAAAACTTTAGAATCTTTATTTTTTTAAAGTACTTATGAATTGATGAAATTTTACTCTATGAATCTTATACCATTTTAATTTTTTTTTTGTTAGAAAGTTTTTGAAGGAAAATTTACTTTACCATATTAATTTTTATGAAAATTTATCATATATTGAGGAAAGAAATATAAGGCGTTAAATA